CCAAGAGCAAGAATTGAAAGGCAAAACTGTCACGTTAAGGTGAAATTACTGTATCTAACACATATTTAACAACCACTCTGAGAAAAATGGTTATAGCTACTGTCTAAAGTAGGAATTTTAAAGCTTTTACTATGCATAGCACACAGATTTACAAATGTAATATAGAGTATAATCATTTATACCCTTTAAACCATAACAAATTTTTTATTATACCCACAAAAGGATTTCAGTATGTTTAATCGCCCCTAAAGATCAACTAAGTAAGTAGATACTGCAATCCTACAAAGAGTTTTGATATTATTCAGAGAAGCAACCAGAGTTCTGGAAGATTCAGAATTAATAGAAATATGATTAGAGGGGTCATAGAATGATTACATAGGGTAACCTACAAAAAAAAACAAAAAAAAAAAAACAGCCAGATACCACTATATGAATTTAAAGCTCAATTTTTCGTCTATTTCAAAAAATTCTTTGAGATAGGGCCAAGGATGAGGGAGGTCTTGTTGGTCTCCGTCTCCCGATACGCTCTCACCTGTGTCCGACCTTTCAGACATTTCAGCATCTTTTTCTGAATCCGACATTGTAGCATGGCCTAGACAATTCACGTTTGCAGTTTGAAGAACACATTCTTGCTTCTGATGATATCCATTGACTAACCAATGAGTGTTTGCATTATATGACTCCTCCAATTACACTAGTTTTCACTAGATGTGGATGGCACCAATGATCTGCATTGGATGGCGCACATGATGTGAAATAAATATTTATAAACATAAAACCGAAGCCAAGAGTAACGAGTAACGTTTGTTTTAAAAATGTAAGAAATATAAAGTACAGATACTTGTGTGAAAATGTTATTAGTAGAAGTCAGAAGTAGGAAGAAAAATAAGAAATGGAGTAAAGTATAGATGCCTAAAAAGTGTACTTAAGTACAGTAACAAAGTACTTGTACTTCATTACTTGACACCTCTGGTGCTAATCATAAATCTTTTATAAAAATTGATGAACTGGCGCTTTCAGTTGCTTAGCTGTCTAATTATACAGTTGGACTTAAAAGACTTTGCTTGTTCCAATCAGGAACTACTTTAAAGTTCATTAGGACAGATTTTGTAAGTGTCTAATCTAATAAACGTGGTTGGAGAACTCTTCTTCTGAATAAGTTCTGAATTATTATGGTAAAAACTAAAAGCACTTTTTCTGAGCTCTATTTTATTTCTGCATCTCTGTAAGTGCTTTCATTTGCCAACTTCTTACCTGTTTCCTCAGGTTTTCTCCCATTCTTCTCTGCCAAAAAATGGCACCAGTAACATTTAATTTCTCACAGGCTGTTCCTGGTCATAAAAAATAACTTGGACCATAAGAGGTTTTTCATGTGGGTGAGTTGTCGTTTTCCACAACTCTTCCAAGCATTCGTGTCTCCAGACTTAGAGGATCTTGCTAAAACTTCAATCTGAGTGGTGGTGTTTTTTTTTTTTTTCAACAGTAATCCAGAGCTTTCTGCCAGCTTCAGTGCCAGCACTTGCACAGTGTTCACCTCAAAGATTTGTGGATTATCGAGGACAAGCCAGCAGCAGCAGCAGAGACTCCTGGGCATTCTCTGCAGACTGGGCATCATTAGAGAGGGACACGGGATTTTGGCAGGCCTCTCCACCGCCCCGGCTGGCTGCGATGCTGGCGCTGCTGGCATTGTTACATAGATTTAGGGGGCAGGATTTAGGGGTAGAGTAGAGAAAGCTGAGGGAGGTATATGACGAGTCAGTGGGGGATTATCTCACCGCAAAAGGCCCAGATGGACCACTGGGTGATGGTACTGCTACTTCATATTTGGTTTACTGTACTCATGTTACTAAATTATTATAATAATACTAAAAAATACATATATCTTATTACATAACACATGGCAGTAGGTTCTTTTTCATCTTATGCTCTACATGCAGGCATACAGTATATACATAGCTCCAACTGGGACTGCATATAACACTGACGCGTATCACAAATAGGTTCAATAACAGAACGGCAGACTGTAGGAGGTGATGGACATGGTGGGTGTCTCCATCTGTTAATCCCAGACACTAAAAGAATGTTGAAACTATAAATGTGCAGGAAGAATAACTGGAAGATGTGTCGCTGGCTTGCTTTCTGAAGAGACAAAACGAGCAACTCCCAAAAAAAAAAGAAAAACAGCTCCCGGTCTCAACAGCTGAGCGTAAATTTGTATGCGCCGCAGCCTCGGTTATAAGACGACTCTCTTTGTGTGACAGAGAGAAGGGATTATGTCCCGAGGCGACACATTGTTGTGTAACATTCAAGCAGTCGCAGGAAATGACACCTCCGCAGACATAGAGTCTTTCAGGAGGAATCGGCAGTGTTTTTTTTTTTTTTTTTTTTTTTTTTTTTTTATACAGACAAAAAAGTGAAATTGCAAACTAGCATGTGAAGTTACAGACACTGAGATCAATTGGAGAGTCAAATCTTTCATTCTGAATGTTTGTGAAGGAATGACAGCTGACACTTAACCCCTGTGGAAAAATGATGTAATCCACAATGAATGCATCTGCTCTGAGACCATATAATCTGTATATTTACTAAGAATATACTTTTTTTAAATCTGAAAATCCACCGATGAAGCAATAAGGGAGATTTGTCTAATGGACAAAATGACTCATTCTGTGGCAGTGCAGCAGATACAGCTCTTCTACACTTAAAGTTTTGACCTATTTGACAATTTCTCATGATTTGGCCTTAAAGTGGAACCGGGAACAAATTACTGTTTGGTCTTTTTGCTGAATTTAGTAAGTTTAGAGCCTTTAGCAAAGTTTTACATGCTGACCTTTGATTATAGTCCCCCATATGGATTAATTAGTTCTGCTTCCTTTTAAAGCATGTAACCCAACTGAAATAAACTATGTTTAAATCCTATTTTGTCTTCAATTCACACAAATGCTCCTGGTTTTACAAGCCGTGGGTTAAAAAAGTTTTTTGGAAATAAAACAAACAAAGAAAAGACTTTCAAGTAGGACCCTGGTGAATAAGAATGAAAACTGTTAAAAATATGTTGCATTTCTATTGGTAAACAAGCCATAGTTATTTTGTGTGATACTATTTATAGTAAATTAAGCAAAAAATAAAAATAAAAAACAGTGGAACAGTTTAAAATCACCTCATATTTCTTATTTCTTCCACATAGCTGGAATCTATTGTGATCTATTTAATTTGATTAATCAAGCCCTATCAGGCTCACAGAAATATAAAGTCTTCCTCTGTTATTTGGCTGCTCTATGGAAAAAACATTTCTTTGAACAAACTTATTACTTTACTTTAAAATAATATACTTTTTTTATTTCTTTAACTTCATGCATAAGTCAAAGTTTTGCTGAGACAAGCTCTAGGTTTTAAATTGTTCTTTTACAATTCTTTAAATACACTAATATTGAACAACTACTGTAGATGTGTAAAACAGGCTTACAACGCAATTAGAGCAATTAAATGCACCTCATAATTGTTGTAAGACATGTGACCATTCTCTTTGGCAATTAAGCCCTAGGGCTCCAAAAAGTGTTAATGGGCTCCTCTGAGGGAAATTAGCCACCCAAGTCGAGGGCCTACAAAACGTCTCCCTCGATATATGGAACATCTAGTCCTTATAAATAAGTCCTTACAGGTGCAACAGCTAAGGTTTTGATAAATACTGATGCATTTTAGACACATTAAAGGATAGTGAAATGGCCTTGTAATCCATTCTGGAACTTAAAATCAAATGTTAGCCTCATAATTTGAGGAATGACTAGTAAGATTTTGTACAATTTTGCACTTGAATATTCTTACTCATAAAACAAAAAAACAAAAAACAAAATAAACAATACTTGGAAATTACAATCTTAAAAGCTAAGCAGTTTTTAAAATAAAAATCTTCAAGAACTCTGTAAATTAAGAAATTAGTTTGTTCAAAGAAATTAATTTCTATTCAGAGGATTTAACCAGGTCAGAGCATGCTCATGGGCAAGATGTAAAAAGTACCTAAACACAACATCTGTCTTTAAACACTGTTGGTCTTATTAGATTAGCAAGTGGTGTTATTGAATTTGCTCTAAATGGTAAATGGCCGGTACTTATATAGCACTTTTTCAAGTCTGGAGACCTGACCAAAGCACTTTACAATACATTCAGTCATTCACCCATTCACACACACTCACACACTGATGGTGGCTACATTGTAGCCACAGCTGCCTTGGGGCTCTCTGACAGAAGTGGGGCTACTGCACACTGGCTCCAATGGGCCCTCTGACCGCTATCAGTAGACAAAGCCGGAGAAGTGTCTTGCCCAAGGACACAACGACACCAAAAGCCGGAACCGTGGCTTGAACCGACAACCCTCCGGTTGCAGAGCAAACTCCTGCATCCAACGCCTCTTTTGCCTCCGTAAATGTTTTGAACTCACCATTTTCTAGTACTGCTTTTACCAATGAGAATTCTACTACTTTTTTTTTTTTTTTATGTACAAGACACCTGATTTTTTTATGGACAAACAATTTACGATATGTGGAAATAGTCAGCTATGATGACTATTAAAATCAAAATGTGTAGAAACGCTTCCAATGGAAAATGATAAACTTTAAAATTCCTTTAATAAAACCTTTGCCTTGAGCAAGAAAACTTTAAAAGATGTGTAATACAGTAAGTCTGGTTGCATATATGTGAAAGAACTAGATAAAAATACACACTAAATGTTTTTGATGCAACACTTTTGAACAGTACTGTAATTGTATTACACAGGGTGAATTGGGAAAGAAAATTCAAATAAGACAAATAAATTTGTCTTAAAAGAAAAGCTTAAAAAAAGTATTCTTTTGAAAATATTATTGTAATTACCTTTTTCTTTGATTTCCTCCTGCAGATTATTAAATTTATCACAGCATGAAAGACATAATTTTCTTGATTTGTGCCTAGCACCTTCTTTCCTTTTATTTGGATGTGTAATTGTAACCATGGTGACCACTCACCATCACCTCTCCGGTATCTTGGTCTCTCCTTTCTGTCTCTGAAGATGTCTTTGTTGTTATTGTGGTATGATGAGTCCTCCTCGGTCAGCTCCTCACTGTTCTCCAGGTTTCCCTCTGATAATGGAGATGCTGCTGGTGAGATGCCAGCCAAACTGCCTCCAACACTAGAACCCAAGTGGTTTTCACTATTAATCTCGCTTTGATTTCTCACTCCCTCCGGTCGGGACGTTTTCATCTCCCCCTCTTTGTCCACGCTTTCAATTTTCGCTCCACAGTCTGCGTGATTTATAGGGCTTGAGGGGTTTGAGGGGCTGCAGCTACCCAGAGAGCCAAGGACAGAACTGGGGCTGGAGTGCAGAGACAGGGAAGGGGTTTCTGGTTCTCTGATCCGGGTGCATGGTGCTCCATATGGTTCCTGGACGAATCCTACAAATATCACCCCCTGGTCAGCAAAGTCCTGCATCTGCTGTGGAGAAAAAAGCAAAGTAATAATGTTAAAAGGGACCATAACCTACAAAGCTGAATTAACTGGTCTTAAATCAGAAACTACGTTGGAAAAAGAAATGCAACCATTTTTTGGCATTTACCTAATCATATTTAGTTACTTTAACACAATTGTTTTATGTTAGCAAATAAAACAATTCTGTCAAAGTTAGAAAATCATTTTTTTCAGTGTATTGATCACTACCTTAAAAAATATATTATACTGGATACCAAGCCGCCTTCTCGATTTATAGGTTTGAAAGATTAAAGGTTTCAAAAACGAAATAAAAATAAGCAATCCTGGAAAATCATTACGCATTAACATAATGTGAATATCATTCAGATAATCGACTGGCATTAAAGTAAACTGCAAATAGTACTATGGTAAAGTAAAAAAAAAAAAAAATTGATTATGTCATTCTTAGTTTGGTCACATCAGGCACAGAGCATGCCAAGTAGATATTTCACTGGACAGAGATTGACAGGCTTCAAAAAATGCAGCAGCAGGTAGATTTCTGAATGAAATTTAAAATGAGAAATCATATTTCTTAAGTTGTAGTTTCTCTTCATTGGCTAAAAATCTCAGTTTTTCTGTTTAACAGTTTCTTTCCTGGACAGAGCACACTAATAAACAAGTTTAGCATTACCTTTTCTAACTTAGAAAGTATTTACGGATCAGAACTTCTATGTTCCTTTTGTATGACTACTCAGAGCTGTCCTTGGCGTAGTTTTTCCTCTCTACCACTGCTGCATGCATGCTCAATGTGGGGGATTGCTGTAGAGCCAGTGACAAAAAAGGCAAAATATCTAATGTTGCCACATGCTAATTCACGAAGAGCGTGTCTTACAAGTCAATCACTCGATGCAATCTGCCGGTTTTCTTTAAATAGAAAACTTTTTAAGTTGTTTGATCTGATCGAATTGTCTCTAGATAGTCCTTTTAAATAACATGTAACAAATTTGCACTATACAAATAAACTGTATTGAATTAAATTATTTTCAGCAATCAATCTTGGTATTGCATCAGAATGGATGACATGACCAATCAATTGTGCATACGCCTATGGGATGTAAACAGTCCTGTCAATTCAGCTAAACCTAGTACACTTATAATGCAGGAATTAATAGCAAATACCATCTAAAGGCACTTAACAAAATTAAAACCATTAATTTAATCCAAACATAAAGATAGATCTAAAGTAATTTCCAAGCTTTCCAATTTAATCATAGTTAAAATTAAATCCAGAAGTTCAATCCAGATGATTTTTTACATTGATAAAATATTTTCTATCTTATTGTATTGAGTCATTGACTGGCGACAATCATTCCTTATAAAAAAGGATACTGTGTCAGTTTGCTTTGATTCCATGGAGTCTTTAATGTTGCAGCAGCCCCTAATAATAAAATTCAAACTCGCTGAAATGTTTTCATTGCTGTTACAATTTGAATGAATGTGTGGGGACCTAAAAGGAGGTTGGATTAAAGTTAACCCTCATTTGGGTTTATTAACATTCTGTGAACATGCTTTCCATAGGGTTGAACCAATATAACATCAAAGTATGTCTGGGGCTCCTAAATGATCAGCAGTACTGCTTTTAAACTGAACTTTTGAAACTTAAATCTCGATTGCAACGTAAATTGTTGTCGACAATAAAGTTGATTTGTTGGTCGATTGATTTTAATACCATATTTAAAATCTGTAGCAGATATACTGATTTTCCAAAACAAACTTATTTGTCAGTTGTTGTTTTTTTTCTTTTTTTTAAGTGCATGAAAAATTTGCTTCTTTGAAATTGTTCCTCTATTACTATTCCTCCTCCTGGTATAATTTTCCCTACAGCAGCACTTTAAGTTTAGTAGTTTTGTTGAGTTTCTGCAATAATCTGACTCAAAGGTGCAATCAGTACACCATAATGATTATACAGCTTGTTCCTAACTATTTATTGTTCATTTTATTGGTTAAATAAAGACCTAAATTATCTTTATTGTTGAAACAATTCTATGAATTCCGTTGTCTCATTGTCTTTTGAGAGGCTTTTCTCATTTCCTCTCAAAAAACATCTTAGTTGAATTACTAAATCTAAAACTGCAAAATGGTGGAAATGATTTTGGGCTGAATTGGGCTTTAATTATACCTTTCTTCTCTATTCTTTCCAAGCTTCTCTTAAAATCAGTCACAGAGCTGTTGATTTGATCACAGAAGCCTAGTACTATACTGTACCTGTGTTTAAACCCAAACCCGGGCCCCTCTTTTACCTGTTTGTCATGTTGAATTTTATGTCCACATAGCAATGCTACTGCAGCTTGAAACGTTAACTGTCAGGGAATGTTAATGATGCCATTTTATATTCGTGCCCCCTATCTCTTTGCTGAGGTGGCCCTTGTTTCTATCAGGAGCCTCATTGGGTGAAGACAATAAAAATCAAATCAAACTGCAGGTTATTCAGTATGAAACTGAATTGGAAAACAGTCACAGTGTCTCCAGCCATATTGTTTAACATAATTTAAATGTCATCTGGCTGCTTCCACATAATATTCTCTATACCAATATGTTCAAATGGAACTGTTCACATAAAAGAGAGCAACTGTTGTATCTCATTTTATGGTAATGTGGGCAGTCAGAGGTAGAAATGAATGGCTCTGACTGACTAATGTCAGTGCAGTTGATAGAACAATAGATCCAAGATGATAGGTTGTGATGATTGAATTTATTTTTGGTTCCATTTTGTTTTTTTTTTTCATCATCATTTCATTAAGTCCCGGCACTTGACAATTCAGAACAATTCAGAAAAGATTTATTTTTCATCGCAGCAACACAAGCCAGCAGACAGGACGAGTGTCAAGATGTCAGACCAACACAAATAAAAGTGAATGAGAAATGAAATGAGAAAAAAGTGGAAAAAATGTCCTCAATGAAACAGCAAACAGTTTGATATAAGGAATGGGATTTAATAAAACAGATAAAATGCTTTTGGGCAACAGGAGCAGCAATGTTTAGCCAAATAGAATGACAATGTGAGACAAAACAAATGTTTAGGAATCTAGATTAGAAAATAATAATAGTGTGGCAAAAAAAAGAATAACAAAATAAAAATGGTATTATTTTTACCCTTTAATATCCATATGATTCATTTTGTCATACAGGTATGTGTTAGATTTTGTTGAATACCCTGGAGATTTGTGTATACACACAAGAAAAGTCCTTATTTGGTTATGACCGAAAACAATCTTAATTTTTTTTGGTTAGGTTTGGTTTGTATTTGAATTGTACATTTTAAAGTGGTCTATAACTAACAAAAAACTGCCCGTGTGTGAAGATCATTGCTGTAATTGGTCAGAAGTGACCTTGCTATAGTAGGACTGAAATGTGGGGAGAGTAAAATGGGACTACTGCAAACTAACCCTGCGTTACATGTTTATGCAGTTATTACAGTAAAAAAAAGTATCCTGAGCAGCTCAGTCAATTTATTATAAAATTTAGGATGGTGTCTGAGAATACATCTTATTGGCTGATAGTCATAAATAAGCCACCACTTACTGGCAGCAATGTTGCTAAGCAACAAACAGCATATTAGGTATGATTTTGATACTACATGCCAAGTTAAGAAAATATATATATTACTTCTGCAATCTTTATGGGGCCTCTGTCATACTAATTAAGAATTAAGCAATTTTAAGCATTTGTAGAGGAAATGCTTAAAACTGCTTAACTTTCTAGAGGAACTTGTAATCCCTTTTACTGGAGTATTTATAATACTATATATTAACAACTCATTTAAATCTAAATAGGTGGTCCTCTTAATTGTCAAGCATTCTGGTGATATGTTTATGTAAGGCCGTCAGAAAATGTTCTGAAAGATAGGGAACTACCATCGGCTCTGCATAAGATTTAGCAGCTGTGATTAAACCAGCAAGCATTAATAAAACGACTAAAACTTTGATTGCTTCATATCCATCCTCTTTGAGATGAAAACTCAATCACAAAGCTGAAAAATTACATATCTATATTATAGACTCGCTATGTAAAATGACTACTTCCTGACAAAGCTGACGTCACAGCATCCTGGTGGGTCATGTGACCAAATGAGGAATTTGGGGTCGTCTGCTATCTTATTGAATTATTTCATGCTTTAAATGACAAAATGCTGAAATTTGTTTCACTTGTGATGTATTTAATTGTGTACATACTATCAAATAAGAAACTATGAGTATGTGTTTTCTTTTTGAACTTTAAGCGCTATAGTTGTCCTATTGTTTATATGGTTTTAAGCTAAAATTTATTTGGTTGGAGCGTAATAAAAGGGTTTGACTGAAAGTATCCTGTTTGTTTCTGTCCATTCGACTGCTTTCATTTCTGGGAGTTTTCACAGCAAATCATTAACACTTAATCAAAGACTTTACCAGATTACAACACCACACTGCTTTTTTCATGATGGAACTGCTGAAATACTCACACCTTTTAACCAAGGGAACTAGAACTGAGAGAACCTTATATCAGCCTCATAGCTCAAAATTAAGCTTTATGTTGATTCTGTATGGTTCCTACTCAGATTTACATCTTTTGAGTTATTGTTGTATTTTGTGACGAAAAATACATTTCTGTTATCTGGACCACATATGTTGCATATTGTATTTATTGGCAACATCACTATAAAGTAGTTGCAATAACATGTTTAAAGAAATGTATTAAACTTTGTTTGATTTTGACCAACATCTGTGGATGGGAAGTTCCTATGGCCCTTCGTAAATGGCTTCCCTCATGTTGGGCTAAGCTCCTACAGAGACAGAAACCATAATAGATAGGTTTTATGGATGACGGTTAATAAAAGTTATGATTAGGAATGAGTCCGGTGGACAAAAACTGCAAAGGTGTTATGTTTGAAATAAGTGTGAAAAAAAGCTTAACAAAAACTAAAGGGATCAAATTCGGTGGTAATAATGATTTGGTTGAAATAGAGTCCCGTGGGTAGGAAAACAAATGAA